GACCTCAACTGCCCAGACATCTGCTGGGAGGAGCAGTCAGCCAGGTCCGACTGCTTACATAGGTTCCTAGCTAGAATACAGGACCTCCATCTAACCCAGGAGGTGCATAGTCCCATCAGGGGAAATGCCTTGCTGGATTTGGTCCTTGTCACAGGCAATGACCTGGTGAGGGGTCTGCGGGTACTCGACCAACTGGGTGACAGTGATCATCACCTGCTGGAATTTACTGTCCAGTGCAGGGTGGTGAAAGCAAGCAGCAAGGCAGAGGTCCTCAACTTCAGGAGGAACAACTGTAAGCTAAGAAGGCTAGTAGGAAAGGCGGGGTCTCTGAGCTTCAATGAGATGGGAGTCCAAGACAGGTGGTTGTTCCTCAAGGAGACTATCCTCCGAGCTCAAAGGGAGTTAGTCCCAATGTGCACCAAGGGGGGCAGGAGTGCTAAGAAGCCCCCATGGCTTGGCAAAGGCATCCAGGGATGCCTGAGGGCAAAAAAGGAGGCGTACAAACAGCGGAAGCAAGGGGCTGTCACCAAGGAGGATTACACTTCCATTGCTCGGGACTGCAGGGAGGCTGTTAGGAAGGCCAAGGCAGAGATGGAGATAGGGCTAGTGACCAGAATTAAGGGTAACAAAAAGTCATTTTTCAAATACATAGAGAGTAAGAAGAAGGCACAGGGGAACATGGGACCCCTAGAGGACAGGCTTGACAATCTGGTGATTGCAGCAAATGAAAAAGCTGACCTCTTTAATGAATTCTTTGCCTTCATATTCCTGAACAGGGACCAGGACATCTTCCCCCACTAGAATTGTGGATGAGCCCAGGGGACGCACCGCCATGCCTAGGGTCATCCCTGACCTAGTTAAGGAACTTTTGGAGGGGCTGGATGTGTTTAAATCAGTAGGTCCAGATGTTCTTCATCCGATGGTGCTGAGGGAATTGGTGGGGGTCATAGCAGGGTCCCTGGCATGGCACTATGAGCACTCATGGGGCACTGGCCAGGTACCAGCGGATTGAAAAAAGGCCAATGTGGTCCCCATTTAGAAGAAGGGAAGAAAGGAAGATCCTTGCAATTATAAGCCAGTCAGTCTTACCTTGGTCCTTGGGAAGACCATTGAGAAAATTATCAAGGAGCACATCTGCAAGGGTCCAGCAGGGGAAGTAATGCTCAGGGGCAACCAACATGGGTTCATTGAGGGCAGGTCCTGCCAAACTAACCTGGTTTCTTTCTATGATCAGGTCACAAAGTCCCTGGAAGAGGGTGTCGGGGTGGATGTCATGTTCCTGGACTTTAAAAAGGCCTTTGACATGGTTTCCCACCACATTCTCTTAAAAAAACTTGGTGACTGCAGCATTGATGTCTACACAGTCAGATGGGTGGGTAATTGGCTAGACGGTCGCACCCAGAGCGTGGTGGTGGACCGCGTCGTTTTCGACCTGGAGAGATGTGGGCAGTGGAGTCCCCCAGGGCTCAGTCCTGGGGCCTGTACTGTTCAGCATCTTTATCAGCGATCTGGATGTGGATGTGGAATGCACGCTGTCCAGATTCACTGATGACACCAAGTTGTGGGGTGAGATGGGCATGCTGGAGGGGAGGGACAGAATCCAGCTAGATCTAGACAGGTTACAGAGATGGGCGGATGAGAATAGGATGGAATTCAACACAGACAAGTGCAGGGAGCTGCATCTAGGGAGAAGGAACCAGCAACACACCTATAGCCTGGGGAACACCCTTCTTGTCAACACAGTGGCAGAAAGGGATCTTGGAGTCATTTTTGACTCCAGGATGGACATGAGCTGCCAATGCAAGGAAGCGGTCAGTAAGGCTAACTGCACCTTGTCATGCATCTACAGATGCATCACAAGCAGGTCCAGGGCAGTGATCCTTCCCCTCTATGTGGCATTGGTTAGGCTACAGTTGGAGTACTGCATCCAGTTCTGGGCACCGCACTTCAAGAGGGATGTGGCTAGCATTGAGAGGGTCCAGAGGAGGGCCAGGCCCTACAAAGAGAGGCTAAAGGGCTTGAACCTATTCAGCCTCCACAAGAGAAGGCTGAGAGGGGATTTGGTGGCTGTTTACAAACTCACCAGGGGGGACCAGCAGAAATTGGGTGAGGCTCTGTTCCCCCGGGCACCACCCGGGGTTACTAGGAATAATGGCCACAGATTATTAGAGAAAAGGTTCAGGCTTGACATCAGGAGACATTACCTTACAGTTAGGGCTGCCAGGCTCTGGAATGGGCTCCCAAGTGAGGTGGTACTCTCTCCTACATTGGGGGTCTTCAAGAGGAGGCTGGACAGATATTTGGCTGGGGTGATATGACCCTGGCACCCATTCTTGTCCAGGGCAGGGGGTTGGACCTGATGATGTTTAGATCCCTTCCAACCCTAAGCACTATGATAATATGAGAGGACCTTTGGCTTGTTTAAAGCCCTGGCCCCACCTCTAGGCCAGTCAGGGTGCCAGATGGCTCTCTGCAGCCCTGGCCTGCCCCTTGTGGTGGGCACAATTGCCCTTCAGCCCCAGCCTCTTTACATTGACCAATCGAGGAATCAGAGTTAGCCTAGCATCTGCTGCCGTCCGCAGACAACAAGGGTCCCCTTCTGGGCCCCACCATATGGCCCTCTTCCCCAGGGCTTGCTTAGAGCCCCAAAGATCTTAATGGAGGAGCTCCTCTCTCCACTGGGCTCACCTGAGCCCTGGGCCTCACCCCTGCCAGCTCTACTCAGGGACTTCCCTGGCCCCTTTGTAGGCCTACAAGTTGGTAGCTCCCATGCCTAGGTTTGGCCTTGCTCTAACTAGGCCCAAGCCTTCTCTCTGGGGCTTGGGACCTCACTGGGCTCCTAGGAACCTTCTACCATCCCCATTGTTCCTCCCTTACAGCCGAGGTTTTCCATGAGCAGCAGCTCAGCTGGGTGTTGTTGTTCCTTCAGCTACTTGCAGCAAACTGCTGCTCCCAACCCTGAGATCCTGGATCTAAAATGGCCGCCCCATCAGGGCTGGCCTGCACCTGCTAGGTGCCTGCTCTCTGCCTTAAAGTGGCAGATACCAAAGGTGCTCTGCCACAAATTTCTATGTAGATGAGTACAAACTGATGTACATTGGCGTAAATAACCCAAACTATACTTACACCATGATGAGCTCTAAATTAGGTGTTACCGCACAGAAAAGAGATCTGGGACTCATGGACAGTTTGCTAGAAACATCAGCTCAGTGCTCAGCAGCTATCAAAAAGGCAAACAAAATGTTAAGGACGATTAAAAAAAGAGAAGTGCAAACAAGACAAAATATCATTATGCCCCTTTATAAATCCATGGTGTGGATCACCTTGAATGCTGTGCCCAATTTTGGTCCCACAATTCCCAAAGGATACAGAAAAATTAAGGGAAGTACAGAGAAGGGCATCAAGGATGATTAGTGGTATGGAGGGGCTTTCGTATGAGAAGAGACAAAAGAGACTAGGCCTATTCAGTTTAGAAAAGAGCTGCTTAAGTGGGGGACATGATAAGGATTTACAAAATAATAAACGGTAAAGAGAAACTAAATAGGGATTTATAATTTACAACTTCACAATACAAGAACTAGAGATCATAAAATGAAATTAGAAGGTAGTAAGTTTAAAACTAGCAAAGTTCCTTTTCACACAGTGTGTAATTAAAGTGTGGTACTCATGCCACAAGACGTTGTGGAAGCCGGCAGTTTAACCAGATTCAAAAAAGGATTGGACAAATTCTTGGGTACATCAGTAGCTATTGAACATGGGATTTAGGATTACAACCTCTGAATCAGAACAGTCTAGACCTTAAATGCTGGAGGCTGTGTGTTGGAGAAGAACAGGGCAAAAACTCCTGGTCATACCCTGTTCATTCTTCCTTTCAGCATCCACACTCTGCCACTGTGACACAGGATACTGGGCAAGATGGACCTATGGTCTGTCTCAATAAATCGCAGTTTTTATGTTCTTAGAGCTTTACCTAAAAATATATTCCAAGTCTAGGCTTCAAATGCATTTTAAAAACATTCTTCTAACAGGTGTCATCCATGATTTCTAACATAAAGAAGAAATCATTTTAACTGGAGCTCCACACACAACAAGTTTAAACATCGATCTCACAGTTGGATTAAGGCCAATGTACGTGAGGTCTTGTAATACCACATTCCAATGATTCTGACACAAGAAGAATATTTGTGGTAATACATTTTTTGTGTTAAAAATGATGGATTGGGATTTGTCTGGAAAAATCAAGACTGTAAACTCATACTCAAGAAGCACCAAGGTGAAGCATTTGAGCTAATAAAAAGTTAGTTTAACTTTTCCCCTGCTGAAAATTCCTTTAATCTAAACTGAAACATTTTTTCAAATTCAATAAAATTCCAATACTTTTATAACTTTAATGACTCAAGATACTTTATTTCATTTTATTTAGCATTTTTGCCATTTTGTTTTAAGTTTTTCTGCAGAGAGAATGCAGAGACAGTTTTCCCCCTTCTCGCTTAATTATGCAAAAAAGATTGAGCTGAAATGGGTCAAAACATTTTGTTTGGACATTTCTGACACTAAATGGGAAAATAAACGTTTTTAGAATTTTGGACACAGTTTCAAATGCATCAACTCTTTTGTTTTGACGTTTCAAAATGAAATACATTTTCAACAAGAAGCTTTCTTGGAATTTCTGTTCTGCACCAAATATTCAAAACTTAGTTATCCCTGTTCACAACAAGCTCTATTAAAAATGCCAATTACAAAACTGGGCTAGTTAACCTGCATGGTTGTGCTGTATCTTGCCATATGGAAGATTAGGATTCAGTTTTTACTTGGGTTTTCCCTCTCTCCATACTGGCAGAAAATAGGCTTGGAAAATAGGCAGAGATGGGGCATTCAGCTGTGTTTGAGCTAATCTCATTTTTTAATTAGATGGCTAAAAATTAATTACGGACATAATATTTGTGTGTGTATGTATGTTATTAATAAAAATAACAGAGATTCTTTATCTTCTCTTTCAGATCCATCTCATTCTTTTCACCGAGATGAGACTATAGTTATCGCTTTGGCATCAGTATCTGTATTAGCTGTTTTGATTGCTGCTCTCTTCTTTGGATACAGGATGCTTGCAGGTAGTATTTCATGAGCTTTCCCTTTTTTCCCATATTGTTCTTTTGACTTTCTCATGGTGATGTTTTTTCTTTCTTCCCCCTATTGCCGTCTTGAGTACATGGTTTTGTGTATAATGTTCCCCACTTCCTTCAGTCAGGCATTTTGGGGTAATTTCAGGTCATTGTACATGCACCGATTTTTATAAGGAATCCTTTGTGTTTGTATTCTGGGATCCATATTTTTCCATAAATCCTCAGCTCAATTGATAGGTGAAAGTCTAGTCATGAGCCTTCTGTGAGGACAATTGCAATGGCATTTTGTATGAAGGAATAGTTGTGCAGCAAGTAATCATTGCTTTCTTAACCATGTAGTCTTCTCACCTGAATTTTACTAATGCTGGAGAGGAGGATTTAAAAGATTACTCCTGAACTTGCGTATTCTTAATGATGTGTAATGTTGCTGACAACATAGCTCTTTAACCTTTTGCATCTGTAGTATTGCCCAATACCGTAACTATCAGAACTTGTGATTCATATTATCTATAGGGGACCGTAAACAAGGTCTGCACAGTATGAACATGATGGAAGCAGCAGCATCAGAACCTTCACTTGACCTGGATAATCTCAAATTGTTGGAGGTAGGTGTGACACTCGGGATTTCTGTATCTTTTCCTTATATGCTGACTGGAGATCATATCACTTTTCAGACATTGTGGGTGCAGCTACATGTGCGCTCTGTTGTGGAGTAGACTAAAGCTCCTTGATAAAGCATTATAGTCTACACGTGTGTCAGTATTAGGGCACAGAAAACTAAATACCTCCGCCGTAGGATAGTACTGTCAGGGATGGTACTATCTTATGGCAGAATACTTTACTGTGCTGAAATGCATGTGTAGATGCTACTGTGGGTGTACATTATGCCCATTCAGCTCAACCGGCTGGGGGGGGCTGCTCTACCCCAGCTCAAATTGCTGCTGTCCTGGGTGCATGTGTAGACACTGCGCCCGGGAGCAGTTAACTCCAGCTTGAACTGCTCCAGAGTTTATTGCATTGCATTAATTGCACCCTGTTATATTAATGAATTGCATCGCATTAATTGCACCCTGTTATATTAAAGAAACATATGTTTATTTTTCCATTGTTGTGTTGTTATAGTTATGTTTCTTGTTCACTGCAATTAAAAACCATAAACGAAACAACTAAAAGGTTTTCTTACTTTTGCTATGATACTAGCAACCAAAGATATTATTTTGCCTTCTCTTTGCATGCTGGTTTCATTGATTAACCAAAGCATGCTCAGCTGTGAGAAGAACATTGACTGCAGAGCACTATTTTGTATTACATTTTGGTGTCACATAAAAGGGCTCATCGTAGATGACCATGTTAAAAATGTTTAAAATATCCTACCGTAATAATTTGAAATGGTGTAGTAATACTACTGCAAATTTACTATGGATTAGATAGTATTCTTTAATAATAGTGTATGCATGTATTCTTAGCCTCCTCAACATCATCTTTCACAGTGGGGCATTCCATATCTCCATGGCAACTAGAGGCAGACTAGAACTCATCCTTGGAAGGATCTCTGCAGAACGCCCTACTCCAAGCAGCACAGTGACAGACTTCAAGTCTCCCTTTGCAGCAAAGCTTTCACTGGATTTTTACAAGCTTTTAACTAAATGCGTCTCATTCTCTTTAGTGGCACAGATTGTTTTCCTCAAAATGACTAAACTTACAAATGAGGAGGGGGTGATTTTGGGGAAGATGTGAAGGACATCTCCTATATTGTTCCCTATGTTGCCCTTCAAAAATGGCAGACAGCAGGCTGCAGGAGCTCTACTCTGAGAAGAGCATAAGCAAAGCCTATGCTGAGATTTGCAGCAGGTGTCAGGTCAACTGACTCTTGCTGGCATTTGAGTGAGGTGAACTGTTGAGAAAGTTCATAGATTTCATAGAGGAGTCGAGCTGGAAGGGACCTCCACTGGTCATCTAGCCCAACCTGCTGCCTGAGTTAGGATCAGTTGCAAAGTATCTCCATTCCTACAAGCTGTTTTTAGCTGTGAGGTCACAGTCGCCATGCAATATGCTGGCTTCTATAAGCCATTTGTCATCAGTGGCTTTGGCTCAGTCCTTATTCTGTACACTCAGCCCACACTTAGCCTAGACTCAACAACAGGGGTGACATGATTCAGATTCCGTTCCTTGAGCGATAGATTGACTTTCTTTCCCTCTTCAGTCTCTGAGGATTATACAGGAGAGGGCATTAAGCAACCATTATCTTCCTCCCAAGAGCATGCATGCAGATTGTCCTTTCATTCTCCCTCATAATTGACTCTTCCCCTTCCTGGGTCCCTCTCCTTTTCTCTCAGGAGTTTGGCCCACAGATTAAGAATGATATTACACAAAATCAGACTTAAAAGGGCAGTACAACCTTTTAAAATATTTCACTCAGAAGTCTCATTTTTAGATCATCTAATGTGAAAAGGAAATCTTTAAAGCTGAGTCTTTAAGTGATACCTTAGAGTCTCAGCTAAGCTTCCCAAAATTAAGTGCAACTGGGGTCTACTGTCACAAGTACTTCTATTTCCAGAAAATGAAAAAAATCTGCAAATTGGAAGAATCTTGTGATTAAGGTGGAGTGGGAATTCCTTAACAAGACCTTTTTTAGCTAAGAATTAAAAAGATCTTCATTTCTCTTCATTAGGAGAGAGAAGCCTTTACTTCATTAGTAAAGACTATCACCTGAGGGAGTATTCCTGTATAGCCCTCAAGAGTATAAGGTATCACTCACCTAAGTTGCATAAGCAGCCACAGTCCTAAGGATATTGGCTTGTGTCTGCTTGTTATGTGGCTTGTGTACTCAATTGAAAGTCCGCTCTCAACGTGCAGGAGAAGAATCTATTTTGGTGGTCTCCAACCATTTTAAGTAGGAGATCACCTTTGGCATTTAAAAGCAACCCAAGATCTACTGTGTGCTGCCACCCTCCCTCCCCCTCAGCCCAGCAGGTAACTCTGTGGGGAGAGGGAAGGAGAGGCAGATCGAGGCAGAGGAAGAATTACATTATTTGGTGGCATGCCTCCCCAGCAGGTAAGTCCCACCCAGCCAGGGCTTCATTCAACTTATCCATGCTCCTGCCTCTGCGGCACTGTCCCCCACCGTGGGGGCCTTGATCTAGCCCCTGCCCCTTCCCTTCCCCACGGACTGACCTGCTGAGCTCGGGTGTGCGCATGCATGCACATGGGTACTCAGCCCCCCACCCCAGCCTCAGATCGACTCCAAGAGGCTCCGAGATCTACTGGTGGATCAAGATCCACTGGTTGGTGACCACTGATCTATTTTAAACTATATTTCCCTAGAAGCTTTTTCAGAACTTGATGTTTCACCTGACACTTGCTATGCATTCAGGACTCCAAAAAGTGTATCACTGGGCAATTGGAAATATATTTGAAGAAGTGGGAGTCACAGACTAATATCTGATATCTATCTAAATATTTTGCAAGTTCTTTGTGGAGCATAGACACAAAACAGGCATTGAAACAGTGGACCAGCAGATAACTGGCTCTTTCTGGTCAGATAGTCTTCATAGTCATGTTCACTCTCTCATGTCCAGCAGATGATTCTTCAAAAACATGTATATAGCTAGTAAGAAGGCAAACAGCCTTCAGCATTATCTAAAGTGTAGCCCTGTCCATGTCCTAGTTCAAGCCTTTTCCCTTTTTTATTAGGATTCTACATCAAGAAGCAAAGTCTGTGTTGCCTGGCTCAGCAAGACACGCTTAGGATGGAAACAGATGTTGCTTTTGTCACCTTTGTGCCACTATAAAAGTTTTTATGGTGGCCCAAGGCCAAGCAAATGGACATCCATATCCCTTGTTGTGCAACAGATGCCTAAAATCTGTGGCTGCAACAAAAGTGGTATTAATTTGTGCCACTTAATTATGGCAGTTGTGGTGAGAGAGTGCAGGCAGCCAGAGCTGCCAACACTCCAGCTGTCCTTGGCAGGTGCTCTGACCCTGCTCACCCCAGGAGTGCCTGCCTGGCTTTTCCTGTTCACAGAGATATACCTCAGTGATTCCTGAGGGTGCATCTCTATAAGTGGGGAAAGTCAGGCAGGCATTCCCAGGGCTTCAGGGGCCCAGTCCTGTGCGGGAATTCCCAGGGCACATTAGATCAGGTCCTTCAAGCCCTGGGAGGACATGCTGCCATTTTCCTGCAGCATTAACAGCTGCAACAGTGGGCAGTGTGTGTTTCACTTAATGAAACGGATCAGCTGTGCTGGACATATCCCAACACAGCTGACCTAGTTCATTGGGCAACGTGTATTTGTAGCCTTAGAGCCAAGTGAGTGTAATCTCAGTCAGCCTTACAGTGCATCGAAGGCAGGATGGAAGCCTATAAATGATCTTGCTAGCCTCCAAGTCAGTTTGGAAAAACAAAGGTATATATGGAGATGCACCTTATAGACAAACTGAATCAGATGCATAAGCTTTTGTGTGAAAGCACTGACTTCATCAGTTACACTTAAAGCCTCAGGTACAATTGCTCTTTTTATTATATACCCTGAAAAGAAAAGTGATTTTGTAAGCAGCAAGATCATAAGCATCTTCTAAGGAGTTGTGTAAGGCTACTACCAAGTCTTCCTTGCTTTCTCAAATATCACGGAGCTGGTTTCTTCGCCCTTGCAAATGAAGCATTTGGTAGAAGGATATTATAAAACAGGAAAAGGGTGTCCCAGTAACCTTTAAGATCATTTTCAGGGGGGGGGCGGGCAGTATATTGAATTGTCTCTCTTGCTCTTGCGATGATTTGGTGCTTTTTACCTGTCACAGTGAATAGTCTGACATGGAAGGGACCAAGAAAGAACATTCTCTCTTGCATGTGAATTTTCTTTGTAGAAGCCTCCACGCTAGTCAGGCTGCTGCCCATGTCAGGATTACATTAGGTGTTTTTAGCTATTACCTGCTCATTATATACTTAGAAAGGGAAGAGGAAGTTCCTCCAGAAAATCCTGGGATTTCGTTGTTAGGGTTGGCTGCCAATAGTTAAAGTTAAATACTCTAACATTTTTATCTAGTTGGCTCCCAAAGCTGGAAAATGCTATTTTTCTGAAGTGCTCTTCCTGAGGGTGGTAGAAAAGCCAGGCTTAGAGCAAAAAACTAGTTAACCTCCAGTTGCTGTGGAGACTGGGAACACCCCACTGTGAAAACTGACACGATGGGTCCTAAAATGAAATGATAAGAAAGAGTTTTCGCTTTCTATTAAAAGCTATTTAAACTGTAATGGATTTTCTAGGTAACAGCTTTAAATTAGGGCAGATCTGAAACCTAAGAATGATGATATTAAGCCTTTTAAGGCTGAGATGCAAACTACTAAATGGCATGGGAAGTTGTGAGAGCATTCGTCACATATCCGTTTTATTTTTTGTTTCTGAAATTAAGATTGCTTCCTGCTCATAAACTCTCTGAGGAAAAGAGGCATAGTACAGTGACTTAACAATGGAGTTAACTGAAGTCGGTCATGCATACACTGAAAAGATATACAGGGTAAAAGATTAGGTGGTACAAAAATTGATTAGCAATACGGAAGTATATGGATTTCACTTGATGTGTTTAAAATATTTAATGAGTATGCATTTATTTATTGTGGATTTGGAGTAAAGAAAAAGCTAATAAGAGCTAGTTTGGCCAGTGCAAGATTGAAGGCCACAAAGGCTTTTGGGACAATGTTCTAATTTTGGTCTATGGCACAAAATATTCATTAAGGTGCGTCACAGCTTCTGCAATAGAGATTTTCACAAAATTGTGCATAACTATATATCTACATAACTATATATCTTCCACTACTTTGCAGAGTTAAAAACCTCTTGTTCAGATGTTCTTTATTCAATATAATAACAGCTTTTAAACTTTTCACAGCTGATTGGCCGGGGGCGATATGGAGCAGTATATAAAGGCTCCCTCGATGAGCGTCCAGTGGCTGTAAAAGTATTTTCCTTTGCCAACCGTCAGAACTTTATCAATGAGAGGAACATTTACAGAATCCCACTGATGGAACATGACAATGTTGCCCGCTTCATTGTGGGAGATGAGCGATTTACTGCAGACGGACGTATGGAATATTTATTGGTGATGGAATATTATCCCAATGTAAGTACTTCACATTGAAGAATTTGGTTTGTTTTGGAGCTGAACAATAGTAAAATAAAGAGAATGAGCATTAATATCTACTAGTATGCTCCATTATTTCTTCTTGCATAAATAACTCACCTAGCCTGAACTAATGTAAAAATAAAGAAATAAGAATTTTCATAAGCTGCAGTGCAGTCTACTGTAATATTATAAAGATTGTCCACATTCTTGGAAAAAATACTGTGCTGTCAGTTAAGATGCAGATGTTTTTATAAACTGCGGCATATGCAAGGATAGACGATTGAATGGTTTGAATCTTTCTGACTGAAATTTATTAAATTCAGAAGTACTGCCTATTGAGCATTAAGAGATGTTGAAACATCGTATCTGTATTATGATGTAGTTCTGAGCTTATTAGGTTTGCAGTGTGTAACTAGTCTTTCACTCAAGCTAAATAAATTTAAAATAATTTTTCTCAAATAAGGTCATGGTACTATAAATCATGTTCCTCTTTTAGGAAGGTAAAATTAACATCTTCACTTAAACTTTTCTATATTTTAACCTGGTTTATCTTCCATTAATCACAGGTCATATATAGAACAGGGTTCAACAACCTTGTTAGGAACAGTGGGCTGAATTATGGAGCTAGGTCCAGCACGGGCCACTGCTTCTGACCCAGCCACTGCTGCTCCCCCACTCCCTTCCCCTGTGCCTGCCACAGTGTCAACCTGCTACCAAATTGCCACAGATATCCCTGGGCACTGATTTGCTGCCAGTCCAGTTTCACAGGCTGGATGGAATTATTTAGTGGGCTGAGTCTGGCAGAAGGGCCATAGGTTGCCAACCCCTAATAGAGAAAATACATGAAGGAAGGTAGCTTAACCACAAGGTCAAAAAGAGGGTTGAGAAACAGATAAAATATACCTTCCTTATATTAACAACTAAGGACTAACATGGTTGCTTTGTGTGGACATGGCAGATTCCATGTTACATTTTTGTTTTAAAACAAAATAAAAACAATATGGGCATGGAGAGAGTGATGTCAGGATGCTTCTACATCCTTCACAAATATGTTTCCTCCTCCTAGTGTTGTATAATAAGCTGCGCTGCAGAGCTGGCTGCTTTTTATTGCTGAGTGTACAGCTATGTATGTGCAGTGTTAAAATGCATATAAAACATTTGTATATGAATAATTATGATAAATAATAAAATTAGTATGTTTCTATGTATATCTAGACTGGCATGTGTATATATAAATGTACAAATTCCAGCTATTTCTTTATATCTATCTTGTTGGTTTTACAATAGAAAATAGGTTAGAATGGTTGGTCATTTGGTTACGCAAGCCTAAATCCCATTTATAAAATGTATTTGAACTTCAAATCCCATAAACAGTGCCCATAAGGGAAAAGGCCAACGTTTGAGTTGTGGGGGAGAAGTGGGTGGGAAGCATATGTGTTCAAATATTAATAGAATATCCTAGGGAAATCTACTAATGATAAATAAGAACAAGAATTATTACACCCTCCTGAAATACTCAGGGTATGATTAAGGTTAAAATGAAAAGTATATCTAATATATTTAAACATTCAAATGATAGTGGCACAATTTATAAAACAGTTGGGATTCTAGGTGCCAGTGATCAAAACTGAACACTGTGAAGAGGATCCTAACTATCAGCAATTAAAATGCAAAACACCATTGAAAAAACAGTCGGCTATAAGCAGATGGATCGCTATGGAGAGAGGTCCAAAAAGTAAGAACCCCTATGGAAAAAGGTCAGTCACATGCAGACCTTAGCTGCCTATACACATGCTTGGGGTTGAGGGCAGGGGCATTTTAATTAGTGCAGTACCCAGAGAGCTGCTCTAATTAAAATGCCTCATAATCACATGTACTAAGCCCCTGCAGGTTTAAAAATGGCTGTAGGACACTTTATCTAAACTTCATTTGACAAGGTTTAGATAGTGCCCCAGTGACCAGTTTTAAACCCACGGGGGCTTATATATATGACAGTGAGGCCATGCTGGAGCCGTCTACTTGGAACATGGAGCACACTTGATTAACCAGCACATGTATAGGCACCCTTCATGTACGTAAGTGGAACATCTAGACCCTATGTCTACAAGGAGAAGAGATTCTTCTTTCAGTCAGATTTAAAGTTATGTTTCAATCACCTGAGTTAGGTTAAATCAACTGAACAGTCCTCACCCCTGCCAAACATCCACGAAAAAAACATTTAACATGTTTGGAGCATTTGAGCTGCTTGGATTATAAACTGGCATCAAAGGGGAGTTTTCAGTTAAAGTAGGGTAACTTGATTGAAAAATGCATTCAAAGGAAATGATAAAAACGTGAAGGAAGCTTACAACAAATACCTCTTTTATATTGTAAGTACCCTCCTCAATAAGGTATTTAAAACAGCAGGGCTAGCCTAAAACCAATCCACTGTTGATTTGGTAACTAATAGAGAAAAATGCGCAGCAGGTGTAATTAATACACAGCATGATCCTTAATTCAGTCAGCAGATGTTCTTCTGTATACTGAACTAACAGCAAGAAATGAAAGATCCCTGCTGGAAGCTGTTACTAGAAGGGAATTACACTTGTCAAGCCTTACGGTCATAAGAACCTGATGTGAATAAGGAGGCCACCTGTACAAGCTGTGCAGCTGAAATATTTTTTATCACATCCAAAACATGGCTTTCCATGAAAAGATTTGGTTAAAAATAATGTCTTTTTAGTAATGATGAGAACAAATGACAGCCTTTTGACAGTGAATAGCCTTATACACCAGCAGGATTTGTCTTCCATGGGTTAAAAATGAGGCAAACCAGATTAGCACACTTTTATCTTGTCCAGCACTCCTCCTGAGCTGAGAGAAAGCAAGCAGGTTGCAAGGGTCAGGACATGTATAATGGTGTATCATCAGCATCCTGGGCTGATAATACTTCATCGCTTGTTAAAAGAATAAACAGGGTGGTAAAGACAGTGAAGGATAGCTTATTTAAAGCACTCCCTAGTGTCACACAGTTGTCTGTCAGCAGTCCAGCGGCTTGTAGCTTTTAAATATAATTGGAACAATTAGAGGATGATTCCAGACACACCAGCATGGTCCTCTGGTTAGTAAAGCAAAAAACAATACTCAGTTACCAAAAGCCATGACGAAAAGGGTTAAATAACTCATACTGAAGGGTCCTTTATTTCTAATGTGTACCTTGCCATGGTGATACTGCTTATCGGCTCTGTGACCTGATGAGCTATGTCAGTGGGATTTCTTCTATTGGGAATACAAATCTTCCAGCCCTCCAGGTTTGGGGATTGTCTATGAAACAGATAACCCCATCCCACAACAGATATTCTTGTCATGGAAACAAAGGAGAGATCTTGCCAAGCTCAGAAAAGGCAAACATGGAATTTGTATCATATGACATCCTTTTAAGCAACAAAACAGAATATGGTGTAGATGAAACTACTGCAGGGTCCATATGCTGGAGAACTGTATTCAAAGAGTAGCTTAACTGCAAACTGGAAAAGTATGTCAAAAGTGGAAATACAGGGGTCTGTCCTAGGTCCAATTCTGTTCAATGTTTTAATGAACGACTTGAATAATGATATAGAGAGTACATTTATTAATTTTACAGGTGATAATAAGTCTGGAAGAAATTTTGGAGGACAGGCTTAGAATTCAAAATGGTCTTGACAATTTAAAGAAATAGTCTGAACTAAATTGGATTAAATTAATAAGGACAAATGCAAAGTACTATCATAGGCAGAAATAACTGTACACATATAAGATAGGGAACAACTAGATAGGCAGCAGTTTTGTAGAAAAAGATCTGGGGATTATGGTGGATCATAAACTGAACCTGAGTCAACAATATTGCACTGTTGCAAAAAAGAACAAACCCACCCAATTACCATACTAGGATATATAAATAGGAGTATTGTATATAAGACATTAAGTTAAAACTTCAGCTATTTTCAGAATTGGCAAGGTCTTAGCTGCAGTATTGTGTCTAGTTCTGGGTACCACACTTGAAAAAAGATGTGAATCAATTGGAGAAAGGCCAGAAGAGTGAAACAAAAATTATCAGAGGTCTAGAAAATGACACAGGAGGAAAGATTTGGGTTTGTTTAATCTAGGGAAAAGAGATGGGAAGATATCATAAGTCTTCACATATGTAAAAGGTTATTAAAAAGAGGAAGATTAGAAAATGGTCTCCATGTCCACAGGAAATAGGACAAGTAGTAATGTGCTTAAATTGCTAAAAGGGAAATTTAGGTTATACATAGGACATTTTTTCTAACTGTGAAGACAGTTAGTCACTGGAGGAAATTACCTAGGCAGGTAATTCCATCATTTAAAGTTTTTAAGAGCACGTTAGATAAATACTTGTCAGGAATGGTTTATAATTGAGCCTGCTATGGGACAGAGAATGGACTTAGATGGCCTCTTAAAGTTCCTTTCAGCCCTATTTTCTATTACATTTCCCTGATTCTATGGAAATATTCTCACTGTCCCTAAAGAACAAATTAAAAGAGTAGAATGTATTCATTGTATAATAAGCAGGCCTGTACCTGAAGTAAAAATCAACTTTGACATCATAGAAGAGATGAAAGAATAGAATGTTAATTGCAAGGAAATCACCTTGGGGGAACTTAAAGCAGCTTTGGCTTTAAGTTTTAAGGAGGGAGGCAGGATAAAATAACTGCATGTCTATTCAAAGCCAATGGTGAAGAGAACTTGAAAATGCAGCTGGGATTCTTCAGCCAAGTACAGGAGACAGAATCCGTCACAAAAATGGAACAAAGAAATAATGGAATGACCTGAGAGAGGAGAATTAAGAGCGTGATTTTGTTAGTCCCCAGGAAACTCTTCTGTACAATAATTTTGAACAGAATCCATAATCCTATCACCAGTGGATTTTGAGAAAAACAAGCTGGTTTTCATCCCACCCATTCTTTTATTGCTCATAGCTTCATGCTGTTCATTATCATGGAACAAAGCACTGAATGGCAGCTACAACTCATCTTAAATTTCATCAACTTTTAGAAAGCTTTTGACACTGTAGCGTAAGTGTTTGTGGTAGATGCTAGGAATCTGCAGATTGTCGTCTAAAACTGTCCAGATCTTCTGGAATCTTTATCAAGACACCAGATGTGCCACGATATTCTGCCAGGAATTAGTTTACTGGTTTGATGTTACTACTGGTGTTAATCAAGGGTATGTCCTCTCCCCTTTGTTGTTTGGTATGTTCGTTGATTTTGAGCTATGACAGATCTGGCATCAGGATTAGAAATTCCTTGGGCAGATGGAGTGCTTAGAAATCTGAACTTTACGAATGATATCTGCCTCTTAAATACAGTGATGCACAAAATATAACAAAAAACTGATAGCCTAGTCACAACTGTTACGCAATTATACCTTATAAACAGCAAGTCAGAAATAAGGGTTATGAAAGCCAATGCAACCTGAAATCATTCCATTTTTCTAGAAGTGTTCTTCGGTGCTGCTGATGGCTTTATGTACCTAGGCAGCATCTTTCATAACTCAGATGCCTGCATCTGTGATAGGATGACTCAACTGGGAAAGCAAGCACTGCTTTTCAGGAACTCATCTCATTATGGAAGTCTAAAGCATCAGCACTAAGCTATGAATCTTTCTAGCAATCTGTTAGGCATATTCTTGTATGACTGGAATCCTAGAAAAATAATTGCATCAAAAAGAAGTTTAAATGCCTTCCTGTCTAGATGTCTGCTCTGGATATTCAAAATAAAGTTTCAGATAGAATAAGAATGCTGAGATCTTGAAATGAGTGCAATTCACCCACAGCCACACAAATAGTACAGACCTCACCGTGACTGTGTTCCGGGAATGTTGGCTAACAGGCTCCCCAAACAAGCCTTGTTTTAAAAGCCCTAAAGCAAAAGGAAGAGAAATCAATGCAATGCATTCATAGTTGAAACAGCAGACTTGCAGATTAAGAGTTTGATCAAACTGAAGAAAATGATCCAGGATCAAATAGGTTAGTAATGACTGAACTGTGCCTTATGCACCTAATCATGTGAAGCAGTTTGGTTGCAAAAACCCTAACTTTTGCTGGTCTACCAGAAGGTCCCAGTTTTAGTGCTGTAGGGTGAATGCCCATGAGCACGTACCTTTGGTTTGCAGTGCACATGCACCCATGCTCTGTGCTGCTAATTTGCAGTGCAACAGCTTTTGAGGTTTTTTTTTCACTGGGCAATCCTGATGTTAAAAAAACGGCTGCTAAAAAAAGCTGTGTGGTACACATGGCAGCAGTATGCACCGCCAAAAAACAAAGCCTGCTGGCCACAGGCACGCTCTAGCTGCCAGCCAAGCTCTGAGCTGCTGACTCAGTGCTGCTGCTGCCCCAGGAGGCCCCCAGGTAAGGCTGCTGGGACCAGCACAGGCACTGGTTTCAGGCCCCCCTGCCCCACCAGGTCCCTTTGCCGTGTGCCGGAGTGCACGTTCAGGGATGTGCCCAGGGACAAATAGCAGTACAAATATGTGCCACTGCGATTTGTGCCATGGCAAGCACGCCCCCGCACATGTGTGCTCATGGGGATGTGCCCATAATGTCTAAACCATCTTCCCTCATACAGTTGCTATAGCAGAGGACAAAGAAAGCACCTCTGACTCTGTTACATCTCTTTTCTGTGTCCACATACCATCCATGAACAGAAAATAATCAGACTCCAGAGGATCACCTTTGCACTTCCTTTCAAATCTGACTTAGATGCCCCTAAATATCAGTGTTAAAATATGATGGAAGCAGAGATGCAGTGGAGTACCAAGAAACCAATCCTGTAGCTGATGTTACAGCTGTCAAAAAGTTCATAATTCTCAAGTGTGCTTCATTTTTTAGAGACGAAGGTAATTTTAGTCCCAAAGTTAACTATCCACAGAAAAATGTGGTGACCTTTCACTTCTGTTGTTGAAAATGACTTGCCTTAGAAATTAAGAATCCTGACTCTAGGGTTATAGATGAATTATTTCATACTAGAATCAATCATCTTGAAAGGAGTTCAGGTTTTTCATTTTAATAATTTTTGTGCCACCCTTATTTTGGGTCTCTAGCATGATGTCTCCTACATTTGGTCCCTGGCAGGTTGAGAGGTCTGAGTGAGCATATCCGTGCTCTATCTGGAATGGAAAGCCAAATATAACTCAGAACTAGCAGAGACAGCAGAAATCCTCAGGATTCCAGAGTCTACATGAGCGAATAGAGACTGATTTTTAGCACTGACATGGTGGGAGGAGTAGACTAAACAGACCGAGTAATAGTGTGATTATCCAAAGAAATAAGACTCAAAATATTTGACATTATCCTAAATAAGGGCAGCTCTATGCAAAATCTCTTTATGTGCTAGATAAAACCTATGCTGTCTCTAGCACTCGGGAGACAAGTGCTGAATTTTCTGATATGCATAGATATTTTGAAATTTCTGGCTAGTTTTGTAATTGTTAGGATAAAGAAAAGTCATGATGGTGTTTTTTTTTATTTCAGAAAAAATATTTATTAAAAATAAATATTTAAAATGTATAGTGCTCTATAACGAATTACTACTTGGATTCAGGGTTTATTTTCATTATTAGAGCATAGAAGCAGTATGGGTTAGGTGCTTTTCATACTGTGCACATGACAACACTTAAACAACACAAAATAAAATTTGGTTTGTGCATGGGTATGTATGCAAGTCACATTTGTCCTATTTTTTCCAACAAACAGCTTATCTATTTGTGGCTCTGTATGCTATACAGTGTGAATTTAAAAGGCTCTAAGAGTTTTATAACTAAATATAGGAGTGACAAGAACTGTATTCTCAGCTGGTTTTTGACTGATAATGTTAAATAAACATTGGATTAAACCTCTCAGACTCCAGTACTTCTGAGCTGTGTTATACACATTTATCCCATCTAAACCACCTTTCAGTGTGATACAGTATATCCCAAATGTAGCCAAGTTGCTATATTTACTAGACTTTCAAAAAAAATTAGAAGTTACATGAAGCTGTTTTTTTAAATTAAATATGAATATGTATATAAATTATAAAAAGCTCTATTAATAGTAGAGGTGCTTAACTTCTAGTTACATAGTCGGATGTCAGTTTTCATTCCTAAGACTCCTCGTGGGACTGGAAGGAGTAACCCTGAGATAACCATGGTCCAGGAAACGTGCAGGGAGCATTTCCCAGCTGTCCAGCTCCTCCCAGGACTTGAAGGAGCTGAGTGGCAGGGAAAGGCTTCCTGTGCCTTGCCCAGACCAAGGACCAGAAGGAGTGGAGCAGCAGCTTCTCCCCATGCTTTCCTGAGACCTGGAGAGGGGCTGCAGGCTGAAATGCCTATAAGCTTCCTTTCTTGGGAAGATTTCTACTGCTGCAAATTTCCTGGAATTGTAGCAAGAAAAATTAATGTCTGTCCATTACCTAAGTGTCTTCTATCTAAGATGCTGAGTGGAGCATGTAAGCATATTTACTGAAGCTGGCATCTACAAGCTCTGTGGTGCTGGACTGGAGCATGCATAGCGTGCCAATGCAGAACCTTGTGGAATGTAGCAAAATGTCTCTAAAAAGCTATAAATATGGTCTGATGATTACTATCAAAGGCACAAACTTCAGCCAAATAGGAATAGATTTTCATGGGGACTATAAAAGGCTCCTCTTATACTGCAGGACTACTCCCGCTTCTTTTCTACTTTACCCCACCCACCACCAAATTTAAAGCTTATTTTCCAAACACAGGAGATGCTAAAGCTTGCCAAAGAGATGGCTCAGAAAAAGTAACTAAATATTGGCAAAACTTTAATTTTTCCCCATAGCTTCATTCTCTGAAACAGAATTTTTTCCTGAATTTTTTTCTAGAAATCTTCAAAATAAATTGATAGCAAACTTGAGAAATATCAGTTCAGTCAACTAATGTTTTGCAAAGTTATCAACAACTGAAAATACCACCTTATCATGGATAATGTTGGCCAGATTTAACTACATGTTGCTACCAGTTCTGCTCCCTGAGGTGGAGAGGCAGAGCAGTTAAGGTGTCCCACTGTGTTACAGAAAACATCAGTTTAAAACCTCACTCTTGGTTCATGCCAAAGGCTGCCTCTAGATGACCCACATGTACATGAATACCTGGCCATTCAGGCTGGGGAATCAGGAAGACTGGAGTATGATGCTAGTTGCATCATTTGTTTGTGTTATATTGGCACAGTAACTGGTATACCTTAACCCAGTGAGCCATTTGACTTGGGTGGTCCTTTCACTTAATTTTGACTAGCCCCTGCCCTTCTGAAATATAAAATATGTACAGTAAAGGTTGCTTCTAGTCCAGTAAATCTCTTGTTATGGGTGCTGATTATTCAGAGTTCACTATTTAGCATTCCAGGTAATTGTCTCCAATTACCTTCCTTCTTTACGAAGGATTTCAGAATCCTGGAATAGCTGCAAAAGGATAAATGCACTTTGTCTAAACTGCTTTAATTTTATAGCTAATGTTCATTTTTCTTCAGGTCTTAAAAGGCCTCACAGGAATTTATTTTTATTTTTGCATAATTTTTCAGTCTTTGACCTTCTATTCAATATTAATTTAAACTTTTTAGATAAGACTCATGAGCAGTTGCAGGATTAGAGTCTGGGGAACACTTGGTGATACAGACTCTTTAAAATATTTTGACTTGATAATTAAGGTTGATACAATTTCAAACCACTGTTTTTATTTTTCCCTCTAGGGTTCTCTGTGCAAGTATTTGAGTCTCCATACAAGTGATTGGGTGAGCTCTTGTCGCTTAGCCCACTCAATAACCAGGGGCCTGGCATACCTTCACACGGAGTTGCCTCGAGGAGGTAAGATCAGGAAGGGATGTATTTAGAACAGAAAAATTGGGATAGTTTTCAGGTAGTAGTTTTTCTTTTCCTTTTCTTTTCACAGGCAGTATCAAAGAGAAATAGTTTATTTTAAGAAATAACTGTGAGCAGATGATAAGTAAAAATATAGACTACACATAGCTTCCTGTAGTTATCCCAGTCTCCTGAGTATTCCAACACCATGGTCTGGATCTGTAGATACTTTTATGAAAATGTGGACAAAAAGCCAACAAAACTCCACAAACATGCAAGAGAGAATCAGAGTTGCACAATACTGTTGTGCCATAGTATGAGATGACTGAAGACTCAGAGGATCTGACATGCACAATCTGAATTTAAAAAAGCATGCAGATGAAGTGGTCTCATATCTCACAGTTCATATATATATATATCACAGAAACAATATTTGCAGTTTAAAAGTATGTGTATTATGTATATGGAAGGAAAATATTTATATCTTCTGTTTTATTGTAGTCTTATCTTCTATAACATTTTCTTTCAGGGAAGGGACCATATTTTTCCTATGTATAAATAAAAACACCTAATTAATTTGATGCTTTATTACAACGCTGTACAGGACAAACCATTGAGATGCACCTTTTTTGTTTTTAGTTGCATGCTTCATTCAATCTTTTTATAGCTAAAGTATAATTATATAACAGCTATTCTGAGATCTGTGTTGTAAAAGTTTAAAAAGTATGGTTTGTCACTGAAATAGTAACTACAAATGAAAGGACTAGTGAGGCACGGTAAGATTAATTCACCAGTAAATAGTAGAAGCTGAGAATGTCCTAAATTTTGGTTAAAAGGAAGTTTATAATAATGAATGTAAGCAGTAATGTTTATGAAAAATAGAGGAAAATATCTATTCAAAAACAAAGCTGTCATTAGCCTATTTTATATTCATATATGCCAGTGAAACTGCAGCCAGCACCTTAAACTTAATCATTGTGAAAAATACAGCTAAGTCTTTCCATTAAGCAGCTGCAATTACATAAACCTTCTACCACCGTGAAGAAAGACAGAACAATAGTCGTCTTTTTTGTGTGTATAATCCAGGGGGAAACTTACACTGTATAATGAACTCAGATTCTAGGAACATAAGACTATAATAAACCAGTTCTGTGTTCTTGGCTGTTTTACTAAACAAGTCTCCATTAAAAAATGGATACAAACTGTTCTGCTGGCTAGCAGTCGTAATTTGAGAACACTAGATAAGATTATGTTTACAATATTTTATGATAAGTACATTTCAGTCCTTTTGTAACAAGCTTCTGCAAAGGTTTACACAACTTACAGTGAAGTCCACAAAAATTTGCTCAAAACTGATAAGACTTCCAGCAGCATTTAAGTGTTTTAATATATTAGACTTTTCTGATACTTTGAGACTTAGTTTAAGACCTGTTACTTGCTTAGATCAACAGTTCATTCTTGCTGCCAAGCAGTGACTTTCCAGATATCAGCTGTTCACATTCAGTCATGGAAGGCATTAAAATAAGTTTGAGAGCCAGACCAGGCAGTTGGGGAACAGTGCGTTCATTTGTCCAGCTGGAGAGGTACGTTTAGGAATAACCTGAGGTTTCTCCTGGGGCAGCTCTGATCCATTGCAGGATTAGTGTGTTCAAGCTCTGGAACAAATGTGAGCTGTATGTTGATATGACTGCCCCCGTCCAGTTTCTGCATAGGTGCCAAGCTAACTGTAAAGCAAACTGCTTGTGCCTCGTATGAGGGAGGATTCTGATATCAGGAAGTTGCTTGGACTGAGAGTTAGATGTGGGACAGCAGGTTTGTGCTTAAATGTATATGACTTCCCTGCTTAAGCTATGCTGAAATCTTTGTGGGAATCAAAATAAACTTGCTGGTTGTTGTTAAAACTGTGTAGAAGAATTATCTAATAATATGTTGCAGAATGTAATGGACTCAGTGGTAGAGCGGCAAGGTCTCCTCTCCTGCCTGGCTTGCCACCTAGATACTACCCTGCTACTCCCCTCTGTCCTCTCAGGGTTCACCTACCTTATTATTTCACCTGCCCTGCCTTGATGTTATGATTTCATAGGGGGTCTGCACCTAAGAGGTAGAAGTGGGTTTTGTGGTGACCGGTCCTTGTCTGGGCTAAGGCCTCCCCAGCCTTCACCCATTTTAATCTAGTAGCTGGGTTTTTCCACCCAAGGTCCACTGTACCAGGACCCCAGACCCCTGGGCCCCAGCTAACCCCTCATGGGCTCTGGACCCCCTGGGCTCACCCCTTATGGGCTTCCAGCTTCTTTGCTGCTGGGTATTCAGTCCTCTTACAAACAGCAGTCCTCCTGAAGTGTTTGGGCTTCTGCCCTCACACAGCCCACTGGACTTCAGGTCCTAGAAGTGCTCTGTTGGGATGTCCCTGCAGTATCCCTGTGGCCTCCAGTCCTCCCCTTACAGCCATAGCTGGTCCTTCAGTTTAAAGCCAAACCAAAACCATGACTGTCCACTCCCAAAACAAAAAAGTTTTCCTCCCAGGCTTAATCCCACCCTATGATAGCACCACCACAAAGGCTCAAGGCACTTATCTACTGCTGCTTGGAGTGTAGAGTTCCTTCCACCTCCCCTTCTGCCCAGAGTCCTTCTGTGAGCAGCCCGGACTGGCTGTTCCCTGGAGCTTTGCCTCCTATGGCTCCTATGGCCAGTATCTCTTCTCTTAGGCCCTGGGCTTATAAGCCTCTTCCTGAGTCACCTGACCCTCTACTTCCACCCCAGTCAATCACTGCCTGCACATAGGGTGGGCAACCATCTTATTTAAGACACCTTCGCCATTGTAAATCTGTTCCAGGGGCTGGGGCCAGCCAGCTGACCCTGGGCTCCCTCTCCCCCTCAGTAATGGGGCAGAGACCCCGTTCCAATAGACATAGCAAGATGTTATGAACATCAGTCAGTGTTTCTATGGTTACTAAAGTATATTTCTGTGGCCATAAGGAAGAAAATGTTAACTTCAGGAAGTTATTTTTTATGTTTTAATAAATGAGCAGACACAATGTGATTCCTGTTTTGTCAGTCAGAAGTGCTTTTCAGTTAATAATGAACACTATCATATATCCCCACAGACCACTACAAACCTGCAATTTCCCATCGGGACTTGAATAGCCGTAATGTACTGGTGAAGAATGATGGAACGTGTGTAATTAGTGATTTTGGACTATCCATGAAGCTAACTGGAAACAGACTGGTACGCCCAGGCGAGGAGGACAATGCAGCCATTAGTGAGGTAAGCCTGAATAAAGAAAGCACAGTAATAGGTCTTTGTAAATGGGATGTAATAGGGGAGACATTAATTTAGAAATAATCTGGAGATACCTACTTCTCAAGTGAGTAAGCAGTAGTTATAGAATTCCTTTGGGGGAGGGGAGAGATACTGTATATGGGGAAAAGAACAGATTTAAACTTTGAAGAATTTAGTTCTTTTGAAAGGTTTGAGGTCAACGGCTCTGGAGACCAAAATCCTCTAACAGGACAGGTACAACAGGTCAGCAAGGATACAAGCAGGCATGGATCCTGCATGCTGAAAAGGGGGATATGATGGTAGTGGAGAGCTTGCTGCACATTTGTTTGGTGCCAGGCTCTCAGCAGCAGAGGAAACAACTGTGCCACCTCAACCCCTGATCTGCTCCGGGTGCTTGTTTTCATGCTGAAGTCCATTAGTGTAAACTTGGGGAAACCATGTCTGAATGCCAGAGAGTGTTGTTGATCTTTCTGCTGAGACCCGTCAGCACAGGTGCAGTTACAGTGGTGTTTGTTATGATGTAGACTCTTATCCCTTAGGCCAGTGGTTCTCAACCTTTTAAAACTCACAGGCCCCCTTGGGAAATGCCAGCTCTTAGTTTTCACTCAGTTTTTGATGACAGAAAAATAATAGAGAAATTCTTCTGTTGCAAAAAACACACACAGACCAGTACAAGCCAGAATGTTTTTAATACTATGGATTCTATTTGATATCGCTGGGATAATCTTGTGAAGCATGTTTGCACACCTAACAGTGATAACATTGCATGACACCCTACAGCATCCCTGAAAGGATCTCAAGACACCCTAAGGTGCCAAGGCACCCTGGTTGAGAATCGCTGCATTAGGCCTTATATTGGGGGTGGGCAAAATATGGCCTGCAGGCCAGATCCGGCCCGCCAAGCACTTCCCTCTGGCCCACGGAGCCCCTTCAAAACCCACGTAATGACGGCTGCCTGTCTAAAAGCCTCCGGTGGCACCAGCACCTCAGGCTGTTTCCTTGGGTTCTGGCTGCGAAGCAACCAACCCTGACCTCAGCCTGCCCCAGCTGGCCTCACCCTGCCCCAGCTCAGGCCAAGTTTGCAGCTTGAGAGGGGCGGGGGGGCTGGGCCAGAACCTGTGGCGCCGGTGAGGGGAAACAGTGTCTGTGCCGGGTTCTGCTTTGCGGCATGGGACTGGAAAGGGCCCTGCCCTGCAGGTAAGCCCAGGAAAGCAACTGCTGGGCAGGCTTTCCCTGTGCCGTGCTGCTCGGGCCGTGCAGGGCTGGGCTGGCACTGGGGAGGAGGAGCGGCAGCTGGGCCGCAGCTCTGGCCCAGTCAGCACCAGGGAGGAGAGGTGACGGCGGAGCCGTGTGCCGCTCGGGAGAGGATAAGCCCAGCCAGAGCAGCAGGGGCTCAGCTGCATTTTCCCCCTGCCTGCACCAGTCAGTCCTGAGCAGCACATGGCTCCGCTGCCGCTTTTGCTGGCTGGTGCAGACCTGGCTGGGCTGCTCCTGTCCCCAGCAGCTTGTGGGAAGCCAACTTCAGCTGCATGCTGCTCCAGATAGGACAGACCCGGCCAGGTCTGCACCGGCCAGGAAAGGCAGCATGCAGCTGAAGTCAGTTCCTCACGTGCTGCTGGGGATGGGGGGAGCCCAGCCGGGTCGGCACCAGCCAGCAGAAGCGGCGGCAGAGCTGTGTGCCGCTTGGGATGGGATGAGCCCGGCCAGTGCGGCAGGGGCTCAGCTGCACTTTCTTTCCCCTGCCTGCACCAGTCAGTCCTGAGCAGCACACGGCTCCGCTGCCATTTCTTCTGGCCAGTGCAAACCCAACCGGGCCCGTCCCATCTGGAGCAGCATGAGGCTGAAGCCAGCTTCCCAGGTGCTGCTGGGGACGGGGCAAGCCTGACTGGGTCAGCACTGGCCAGCAGAAGCAGCGGCAGAGCCTCCTTCTTTTGGGACCAGCTGGCACAGGGAGGGGGAAAGTTCTTGGGGAGGTCTGATGCCCCTGAAACCCCACTGCTGGGGCAGGATGTTAGAGGGGTCACAACCCCTTGCTACCTGTTAAGTTGTGCAAGGGGAGGGACTTCCAGTGGCAAAGGTCAGGGGTCAGGGGGTGGGGCTTCTGGCAGCAAAGGTCAGGGGGTGGGACATCTGGTCCCAAGATGGCAACCAGGGGGTGGGGCAACTGAAGGGGCGGGACTACCCATGCGGCCCTTGACAGCTCACCAAAACTCATCAAGCGGCCCTCTGCCCGAAATAATTGCCCACCCCTGTCTTATATTGAGAGCATTCATTCATTTCACATAGTCCCTAAACATTCCTCAAGTGGTAATGTTTTTTGTCATAACCAATTTAAACTGGATTTGAAGCAGTGATCAGGATATAAATGCCTCAGATCCTACAACCAATTCTCTACAGTCCATCCTTTCATCTCTGGAATATCATTATATGATCAAACTGGGGAGAGCATAGGGTCATAGATCACATAAATTATTCAGTAGCTGCTTCTTTCTGTACTTTTGGCTAAGGATGAATATAATGGAAACTGAATGTAAGGACCTCAAGAATAACGAAATACTGTTCAAATGAAGAGTGTGAAATTCCCAGTATATTTCAGTAGACTTTCATTTTCCATTCAGTGAAGCTTTGCTGTTCTTGCAGTACAGCCTTACAGTATTTTCTACTGTGCGAATCCTCTTGGAAAGCATCTATATTAATAATAGTTTAGTATTTAGCTGTTTAATTTCTCAGGAATAAAGAATTGATTATCTCTGAACAAGGTAGTGGGGAGAGGATAAATTATCACTGTTTAAAGGGTAAATTAATTCTTTTCCAAATGGGTCTTCTATTCTAATGAAATACTCTGCTATATAATGAAGTTACTTGGGGAAATAACATTTCACTTGAGGAGGTTACACTGTGTCCTTCTGAAGATGACACAGTACAAGGGCTATACTTACATATTTTGCATTTATCTAGTGAGTACAACAAAATTTTGGAGCCCAAGAAAATACATAAGAGAAAGAACAGTTGCTTTTCCTGCTAAATTGTAGAAAACGGAATATAAGGTGGGGTAGAACAAAAATTGGACCTCTAATAAACTAAGTCAAATGTAAGATTAAGTTTCTGAATTAAAAATGTAACTGTATGTTCCTACAGGTTGGTACAATCCGCTATATGGCACCAGAAGTACTGGAGGGAGCAGTGAACCTGAGGGACTGTGAATCTGCTCTGAAACAAGTAGATATGTATGCACTAGGCCTTATCTACTGGGAGATTTTTATGAGGTGCACTGACCTCTTTCCAGGTAACTGTGGGATTTACCAGAATCATAAATTTCCTAAATGCATTTTTAAAATCAGATCCATTATGTTTGAAACAGAACAGAAAAAATGTTCTTGGTTTTAAACATTAATCCAGTGCCATCTAGTGTTCAGGAGTATTACTGATATCAACACAGTATGCATAGTTGTAATATATTGAAATCACTGATGCATGTGGCCTTTTATTTGCCCTGTTAACCTGCTTGCAAGTCTGTGTATAATGCAGTTTGGATGAATCTTATCACTGTCTCACATTTCAGAACCATCATGTGTTGGGAAGACTGCATAGTCAAATCAATTCATTTCCATAAATTGATGTAGCACCTTACATGTGTCTCAAATATTTCTTGTTATTGAACATTTGGAAGGGAAGTTACTGTTATTTAATGCAGATCATCATGGTTTTCATGCTAGCCTTTGTCTGTGCTAATACCTGCTGAACATTCAATGGACTCAATAGATATAATCTAGGGAAAAAGAAAATGGGCTTGTAAAGTGTAACACATTAAAAGGTTATTCATAGCTACCCTTTTATTTATTACTGAAGTGCATCTTGCGGAGTTAACAGGACCTAGAGTGCAATAATCTATACCCAAGCAGCTGTACTTTATGGGCTGGGATTACAGTCTCTTTGACTTTCTGTTCCATATTAAATATAAGGGCAACTCTAGTCTGCCTTGTTTTATGCAAGTTAAGTATGGTACTCAGGCTCTTGACCAGCTCTTTGTCCCTCGCATGGATGAACTCTCAACTGGCTGCTACCCACAAGACATCACTAAATACTTCTGTTTTCATATTTATCTATATTTTGTTAACTTAAAGTCTTGATGGGGAACAGAAACTTTCTTGTCACTTCCTGCCATCTTAAAGCCCATTGGTTCACTATTGCTTTGTTTCATGGGGTTCTTTTTCTTTCTTTTTGCCAACAGGGGAGTCTGTGCCAGAGTACCAGATGGCATTCCAGACAGAAGTCGGAAACCATCCCACTTTTGAAGATATGCAAGTCCTGGTGTCTAGGGAGAAGCAGAGACCAAAATTCCCAGAAGCCTGGAAAGAGAACAGCCTGGTGAGACAGCATATTTACAGAGAAGTTTTGGATTGAGCCAGCTAAGTGGTGTTTTCACTCCTCAAAGCCAAATGTTGCATATATTTTTTCTAATTGACATTAATATTTAAAGTTTCAGAGTTGGTCCAGGCTGCACTTTTTAAGTAATAAAGTCAATTAAAATACTTGGTATAGAACAGTTCGTATTAAAGTAAGGGATTCTGAAAAAAGAAATACTATGATTACCACCAGATCTTAAGATGTTACAGGCCAGAAGGACACGTCATATTAACATTTATATGTGTACAGTACACTTGAGGCAAAAATATAAAAATATTCCCTATAATATTTCCAGGATATCTAAGAATGCCCAAAGATGTTACTAATGAAAATTTCATTATGCTTGCAGGTGAAGCCAAATAATACAGATACTGTAAAGCATAGCATTTTCTTAATCATATTCCTTTTCCCAAATTATGTACTTTATAACACTACTGAATTTTAAAAGTAATATAATGCTTCACATTTTTATAGTTATCTGAATTTTTTATTCTAAAACGTGTGAATAAGGCAGATTTCTGTTGTTGCTGTTGTTTATATTATCATAGCACACAGATGTACTAGTCCTGGCCCAGGACTGAGTACACTACAAACTGCAGAGCCACTGAACACAGACATCCCTGTCACGAAGAGTTTACTGATAAGTATCAGACAAGAGAACAGACAGATACAGACTGATGGAGAAGACAATATAACAGTTTCGATCAGGGTGGTAGTCAGTGCTTTCAGTACACCAACAAGATAACTTTTGTCAAGATTTTGGGTGCATCATGACAAAGGAGATATTTGAAAAAGAATAATGAAGTAGCTTTAGGATATTAAAGGGAGCTTGTATGTACAGTAGCAGGCAGAAAGCACAAAGGTGCTTGTTTGGAAATCTAGCAGATGTGGATGGCAGCTTGCCTTCTGAGCCACTTACCTTACAACCTCTTCATACAGCAGAACTGGTGATGAGTAGAAGGTGAAAAGTCTTGAAGGAGAAAGCAAATTGTTTGTTCGTTGAGACAGAAAAGCATGGACCAGCAGAGGGATGAAATAATAAACGATGGCCCAGGAAACTGAACTTTGCATCAGCCTTCTAAGTGAATATAAGCTGTGCCAAAGCCAGAGAAAGGATATTGCAGTAATTGAGACACAAGATGTAAAGGGCTTGGACAACCTGTGTGGATAGAGAGACATGCCTATAACTTAAGAGATGCTATGTAGAAATAATCCGGAGGATTTGTACATAGCCAGGATATGAGGAATTAGAGGTTCAAAGTGAACAGAAGATCCATGTTACAGTCTGAGTGAAGGCAAACTGATGGTGTCATCCACACTAATTAAGAAAGAGAACATAGGAACACAGGTGCCATGCTAGGTCAGGTCAGTGGTCTATCTAGCCCAGTATTCTGTCTCCAAGAGTGGCAGAAATGAACACTATGGAGGAAAAGCATTGAATTGGCTATCTCTAGTGTGATCTGTCCGCTATTCAGTATCCTCCCTAGTGTCCACCGCTATTGGCTGTCCCCTCGAAGGGGACAACTCCAACTGTTCTGTTCAATACCCATTAATAGATCTATTATTCATGAATTTATCCTGTCCCTTTTGAACCTGGCTATGCTATCTACCCTGACCACCTCCTGTGGCAGTGAATTCCATAGGTTAACTGCGTTGCATTAAAAAGTACTTTTTCTTTTAGTTTTAAACCTGTTACATCTTAATTTTAGCAGTACCCCTTAGTTCTAGTATTCTGAGACTTGGTGAACAACAGTTCCCTATTCACTTGGTCCACGTGCGTCTTGATTTTTATAGACCTCTATCGTATCTCCCCTCAGCCTTCTCTTTCCAAATTGAAGAATCCTGGCCTTTTTAGTCTCTCCTGGTATGGCAGCTGCTCCAGGCCCCTGATCATTTTGGTTGCCCTTCTCTATACCTTTTCTAATTCTCCTACATCCTTTTTGAACGCAGAGACCAGAACTGCACACAGTATTCACAGTATTCAAAATGTGGATACAACATGGATTTGTATAGTGATATGATGATACTCTGTTTTATTTTTGGTTCCCTTCTTAATGATGTTTTTAGAGAACTCTACAGTGCCTCCAAGGTCTCTTTCCTTATAACAGCAGGTTCAGAACTCAGCACTGTGTACATGTAGTTGAGGTTATTTTTCCCCACGTGCATTACCTTGCACTTGTTAACATTGAATTTCATCCACCATTTTCTTGCCTACTCTGTAGCTTGGTGAGATCTTTCTACAGTTCCTTTGTGTCAGCTTGGGACTTGATTACCTGGAATCATTTGGTGTCGTCTGCAAACTTGAAGATTTCACTGTGCACCTCCATTTCCAGATCACTGATGAAAATGTTGAACAAAGTAGGGTCCAGCACAGACCCCTGCAGGACCCCCTTTTGACTTCCCTCCAACCTGAAAAGTAACCATTTAGCCCTACCCTTTGCTTCCTAACTTTTAACCAACTCTCAGTCCACAAAATAACCTGTCCTTCAATCTGTGGTAATGCAGTTTTTAAAAAAAGCTTTGGTGAGGGCCAGAGTTTGTGACCTTTCTTGTTTTCCTTATTTAGGTATGCCTTCCATTTTCTGAAGGATGCCTTTTTGCTTTGAATCGCCTCCTTAGCTCTGCTATTAAACCATGCAGGGGTTTTATTGGAGTAAGCTTTCCTTAACACCCCAAGACAGGCTTGAGGTGTAAGGGAGAGATTAAGAGCTCTGTTTATTTGGGTTCAGCTAGCACTAAAGGCTGAACATCCACAAGATGTTGGAGAAATTGGCCCAGAGTTTAGTTTGAACAAACAGAAATGAGTTTGGAATAGAGCCAGATCTATAAATTGCCCACAATAGGGATAGTAGTTGAATACGGGTTTAGAGATGAGATTACCCTGAGGTAAGAGATAGGGGAAGAAAAGAAGGGGTTAAAGACAGAGCCCTGAGAAACCCCTATAGAAAGCTGAGGAGGGATGAGGAGGATCCTCTGAAGAACAGCTGAAAAAGTTATTAGAAAGGTAGAAGGAAAACCAGAAGAGGACAGGCAGCCAGCACTGGAAGCCAACAGAAGAGGAGATTTCAAAAGGGACAGCATAGTGAACTCTGTTGAAGGGGGCTGCCCAGCCAAGAAAAAGGAAGAAAAGAGTACTGGTTATAAGATCTTGGTTTGAAAAAATGATCAGTGACTTCTGTTAAGAGCTCTTTCAGTAAGTTTGGGGGTGGAAACTGGATTGGAGAGGGCCTAGGTTGGAATTTGAGGAAATGAATCCCCAAATATAAAAGGGAAAAGGCAGTTGAGGGTGGTAGTCAAGGGTAGATCCAGGGGGATGTTGTGGTGCAGTCACAATGCACTTTGATTCCTTTTCCACCCCTGCCGTCCATGTTAGCCAAGGTCCCACTCCTGCTACAGCCGGTCTGTGCGGCCCCTCTTCCAGAGCTGGACAGGCAGCCAGCAGCCCCTGCCACGTCTCGTGTGCCTCAGAGATCACGGTCCCGGTCCCGACTGCCCGTCCTTTTTCAGAATTCTAGATTCACTCTTGGTGTAGTCGAAGAGGCAAGTGAAGTCAAAGGTGTTTTTTAAGATGGGAGAAATTAAAGCATATGTATTATGAGTGGTTAGGAGATTTTTAAAAATCCCTAACTTGGTCCAGTCAGTTTAATCCATACAGCACTAGGATTCTCAAGTGTTCCTACTCCATATTAGTAAGTGGCTGAAACTCATTTTCTCCATAAACTGCTCCTAAGCTGCATCTAAACATGCAGTTAACACATAGCAATAAACTGCATCAGAGTTTATTGCTCCTGGATGAGTGTTTACAAATGTGCCTGGGACCACAGCATGTTGAGCCAGGGCAGAACAGTCCTGGCTGGCAGGCGGGGTCTGGGGGATCAACCTGCTAGCCTGGGGCTGCTCTGCCCTGCCTCAGCATGCTGCTGAGGGGCTGGCTGGGGCATGAGCATGCTGCAGTGCAGGTCTAGCCAGCAGGCAGCCCACACACTGTAGCACCCTTGTGCCCCAGTCAGCCCTGGTCACTGTCTACACATGTGTTTCGGCACACATAACTATTCCGCTGTAGGATGGTACTTGTCCCAGACAGTACTGTCCTACAGCAGCAGAGTTAATTAATTTACTGTGCCCTAATATGGGTGCATGTGTAAACTGTGATGCTTTACTGCAGAGCTAGTTAGTCAGCTCCACAGCAAGGCACACGTATAGATGTACCCCTAATGTTGGAGATCTTTACATGGAAAATGTGAAGTATCTTGATTCATAAGTTTATTTCACTACAGAATATAAAATAGTCCAATAAGTGAGAGAAGTGGTGATTAAAAGGATCAAGAGATATATTATTGACTTTTGATAAAAAGGGAGCTTTATCTACTCTAGCACTTAGAAAATGGTTTCAGACACATTTATGAGGAAGTTAAAGCCTCTGGTACTATAATGTTGTTATAAAACACATTGTGACCTGCGTTCCGGTCTACTTGCAGAAGTGTTTTATTCCCAGGGATCCTGGTTTTCCGTGATAAAAAAAAAAAATCACACATTCTCTGATAAAAAATTGCAAATTCTCTGATAATCCCAACATCCGTGGTAAAAATTAAATACCCCCCACAGCCCTGCTGGTGTCCCTCACTCCCCCCCCCACAGCCCTGCTTGTGCTGCTCGTTCCCTACCCACAGCCTCTGCCCCCCAGCCCTGCTGGAGAGGGCCCCCAACTGCCAGGGCTATGGGGCCAGGGACCCCTTGCCCCGCACCCCCCAGATCTGGGAGGGGGGACGGGGGGCAGGGCAGGTGTGTGCTGCCCCCGTGCACACAGAGGAAGTATGGCCAGAGCAGCACAGAGCTTGCAGCGGCAGGCAGCTTTCGTGTGTGGCCCCACTCTGCCCTTTGCACTCCCCTCTGCGTTTGCGACCCAGGGTTTACAGCTGGCCGGGCACTCCAGCTGGGGAAGGGGAGACTTGCAGTTTCCCCGCTCCCAGCTAGAGTGCCTGGCTGGCTGCAAACCCCCTCTCCTGGCCAAAGAGTGCCCAACCTTGCTGTGGGCTGAGGGAGCAAGGGAGGTTGCAACCTCCCCCATCCCCTCCTACCGGCTGGAGTGCCCAGCTGGCTGCAAACCTCCTCACACCTCAGCCCCCAGCCCTCTTGGGCAGTCCCTGGCCAGGCACTCCAGCCAGGAGCGGGGGTTTGCAGCCAGCTGAGCACTCTGGCTGGGAGCGGGCAGGCTACAAACCCTCTTCTGGCCAGAGGGCCTGGCTGGGGAGTGCCCAAGATGGCTGGGAGCTGAGGAGCAGGGAGATTTGCAGCTGGCCAGGCGCTCTGGCTGGGAGTGGGCAGGCTGAAAACCCTCTCCTGGCCAGAGTACCCAGCCAGCTGCAGACCTCTCTGCTCTCTCAGCCCCTAGCCAGTTTTAGCCCCCCGGCCCTGCCCTGCAGCTCCCAGGCCCCACTTATCTCCAGCAAGAACAGTGAGCCTGAAACAGTCTTCAGTAGGTGTGAGTGTCGGGCCCCATCCTTCCCCCTCTCCCTTCCCCTCTAGGCAGGGTTGAGAGTTTCTCCACCCCTTTTGCAAACAGCTCTTGTAGGCTGGAACTCAGCCAGTCCTGCAGAGCTCTTTGCAAAAGGGAGAAATCTGTGGATTTCTCTTCTAAAAGGGAAAAATCTGCATTTTCTCTGATAAAAATGGGAAATCCATGGTTTTCTCTGTTTTCTGTGGGAAACAGAACACCCGGATCCCTGTTCATTACACAGTTTTGGCCAGCATGGTTTAAAGAAAAAAATTCCACATCTGCCATTTTGACCCCCAGATGTAGCCTGAGGACCAAGGTAGGTTTGAGAAGCCTGTCCTAACAAAATCAGATACTCCAAAGGAACGGGTATAAGAACTTTCATAAAAACCTTACCTTAAATTTAGCAAGTAAATATAGAACTATGCAATACAAGTGATGTGTAACAGAATTGGTTCTTACAGTGAAGAAATTAGAAAATATTCATGAACCTAAAACAGAGATGATTATAATACCAGAAATAGAAAGACAGTAATCTTAATGCCTAAACTTACTAAATTCCAAGATCTTAAAATCAGCTTATTGTGTGTCTCAGGCCTGGGACCAGTCTTGAGCTGGCTCTGGTGCAGTGCAGACATGTTTTTTAGAAGCTGCAAACATAGCCGGGCTAGGGTCTTGAACAGTCAGCTGATTGTCGGTCTCAGTCCAGGGACTGCATTACAACTGGTTCAAGACCCCTGCCCCCCATGTTTGCCGATCCTTAAAAAACATGTGTGCACCACACTGGAGCCAGTCAAGACCCCAGTGTGGTGCTGGGGCTAGGACTGACAATCAGAAAGGTAGAGATTATGTTAGAGATCATATTAAATGGTACCCTACAGCTGCTCAGAACATGTTCTAACTTTTCATTCAGCACGGTAACGCTTACTGCCATCTAATAAAACACGTTGCAGGTGTCCTATGTGACAAGATCTTAAGTCCTTAAAAATCAAGGGTTTTGTTACACCAGCAAGGGGGAACCTCCTCATGATCCAGGGTTCTAAGCTGGAGGAACACTGTCTGAGGGTAAAGCCAACTCTTTTATTAGCTATTAGCTAATCAATAATATGAAGCCACTTTACTTCTAATATGGCAAACATATATCCTAAAATATTCTAATTCTCTTATTAAATTATTTTAACTAGCTTGGAGCTAAACTCTTACAGTTCTCTCACCTCTGGCCTACTTTACAATTCTCTCACCTTTACCATTAGTTCTAAAATGTAGTTCTAAAATTATCTCACTGATGATGTTTTCTCACTTTTTACCATTTCCTTAGACTATGTTTCCCTTAGTCTGACTGCTTGACATAACTTATGCTAACTTAGCCTACTTTATCCTTTTGTATTCCTATAAAGCATTCTGGCTGCTTGCAGACGTTAACCCTCCCTCCCCCCCACCCTTTACCTAAAAGAAGCAGTGTGTTAGTTCAGCCTAACTCCTCAGCGTCTGTAGAGATCAGACACTTCTGTGGGGCTTATATCTAAAGCTGAGTCAATCAGCTATTGGCTAAAAGTGCCAAAAAACCCTCCTAAAGTACCCAATTTATACAGATGTTTGGCAAGCCAAGTCCAACTAAAACACTGCCTCTTCTAGTCATGTACTTGGCTTTCCACAGGAGTGTGCCAAGTTTAAAGTAAAGCACCATTTTTTAAATGCCTGCAAGCAGCCTCTAAGGCTTAATAAGGTCTGCAACAGTGTTCAAGGAGTCTGTGCTTGCAGGTATCCTAACTATGGCACTGTTAAGTACAGCTCTGGAAGAAGCAAGTTTAACAGCTGTTTTATAAAGAGAGTTCCATTTGGTTCAGCTCATGTAAGTGTGATGTTGTGAGCTAGTAGCGAGTGGTGAGGTTTTACAGACTTATTTTAAATGCTCATTATGGTGAACCGTAGAACAGTTAGAATATAAGAACAGTTAGAACAGTTAGAATATAAGACTATTAGAGTGACTCCTTTATTTAGGTTACCTAACACATTTCTTGTCTTGTCGCCCAGATTTTGGTAGCATTCTAGAAAAACTGAAAACGATCACTCAATCAATAGGATAGCAAAGCTGAAATGTAATATCAAAGGTGAATAATTTGACACAAGCCTTTTTTTTTGCAGGCTATAAGGTCACTAAAAGAGACAATTGAAGACTGTTGGGACCAAGATGCTGAAGCACGACTGACAGCCCAGTGTGCTGAGGAGAGAATGGCTGAACTCATGATGATTTGGGAGAGGAACAAATCAGTTAGCCCAACAGTCAATCCTATGTCTACTGCCATGCAAAATGAACGGTAAGAAATTAAGTTTAGTGTTAGCCAATTAAATAGAACTTCAGCACCTAAGGATTAAATTTAGACTGTCCATAGTAGTTGAATGTTCCTAGACCTGGGAATTGACATGCTTATGCGAGCTAGTTTGTACATGGACATTGTATAATTTGGTCCAGGTTGTTAATTTAATCTGTGAATCCACAAAGAAACTGATTCTTCACAGCTCTGAGTCCTCAAATTCCCCAAATATCTCTGAAGCCCATATGCCTATGATGTAAACTGTATTTTGGACAGAGGAGATTGATTTTTTTTGTTGGCTGGGTTACATAGCCACCCAAAAAATAGACTTGCACAGTTAAACTAAAGAAATTATTATGACCTGTCTTCAGGAATTGCTGCTAAATGATGCATGATATTTCTGTTTAAAATGTTTCTGCTAAAAGTTGTGTGTATTCATTGCCAGTTGGGAAACATGAGGTCAGGAAATCACTCAGAGCTTCAGTTCTGCACTCTTTCAATTAAGGAACCACAAGGTCAGCATTGAATTCATAATTATTCTGACCCTCAGAGGCGCTGTGAACTTCTCTTTTCTGACTGTAAATGATCCAGATGGAAGGAGAGTCAGCTGAGTTGACATTAACATTTTATATATTCTGTAGATGCAGGGTGGGAGATATTATTGCTGTTCGTGGTAGTGTTTCTTCTCATGTTAAATTTGCATTCAACACATGGATCACTTTTAACAAATTTGTTAGAACCATGGATTTTATCAAAATTTTGTGACTGCCTTTATTTTTTTTCCTTCCATCTCTAAGGTTTCCTTTACCTACTGCCTCCTCAGTATCTCTTGTCAGCGCTTACTCTTGCGTAGCTCAATAGTAAACTAAGCAATCAGCATATGGAACAAATAGAACAAAATTCCTAATATTTGGCTTTAAAAAAACCCAGAGTAACATCTTTGATGAAGTCTCTTATCTACTAATGCCATTTCATGGCAGCCAGAGGTTGTAGAAGCTGTAGAGTGCTGTCAGAATTCATGAAGTAATTGGTCTCCCAAAGGAAAGCTGATTTAGCTTTATATTACTATGTACTTGATAATACTTGATAATACATTATTATACTGTAACATTTTTCTTCTTTTATTTTTAAAGCAACCTGTCACACCATAGGCGTGTGTCAAAGATCAGGCCCTATCCAGATTATTCTTCTTCCTCCTACATTGAAGACTCAGTCCACCACACTGACAGCATTGTGAAGAACATTTCCTCTGAGCATTCAATGTCCACTACGCCACTGACTTCAGGGGAAAAGAACAGAAACTCCATTAACTATGAAAGACAGCAAGCACAGGCTCGAATCCCTAGTCCTGAGACTAGCGTCACCAGCTTGTCCACCAACACTACTACCACCAATACAACTGGGCTTACTCCTAGCACTGGCATGACAACTATATCTGAGATGCCTTACTCAGATGAAGCAAACCTACATGCTACAAATGTCATGCAGCCTATTGGGCCAACTCCTGTTTGTCTGCAGCTAACAGAGGAGGACCTGGAGACCAACAAGCTGGATCCAAAAGAAGTGGATAAGAACCTAAAGGAGAGTTCTGATGAGAATTTGATGGAGCATTCCCTGAAACAGTTCAGTGGACCAGATCCACTCAGCAGTACCAGCTCTAGCTTGCTTTATCCGCTGATAAAATTAGCAGTAGAGGTAACTGGACAGCAGGACTTCTCACAAGCAGGGAATGGTCAAGCATGTTTGATACCAGATGTCCCATCTGCTCAGGTCTACCCTCTACCGAAGCAGCAAAACTTGCCGAAGAGGCCTACTAGTCTACCCTTAAACACCAAAAATTCAACAAAGGAGCCAAGACTGAAATTTGGTGGCAAGCACAAATCAAACTTGAAGCAAGTAGAAACTGGAGTTGCCAAGATGAACACTATCAATACTGCAGAACCTCATGTGGTAACAGTTACTATGAACGGAGTGGCTGGGAGGAGCCACAGCATAAATTCACATGCTGTAACAACCCAGTATGCCAATGGAGCAGTGCCATCTGGCCAGACGACCAGTTCCGTGACACACAGGGCCCAAGAAATGCTTCAGAACCAGTTCAGTGGAGAGGACAGTCGGCTGAATATTAACTCAAGCCCTGATGAGCATGAACCTCTGCTGAGACGGGAGCAGCAAGTTAGCCACGATGAAGGTGTTCTAGATCGTTTAGTGGACAGGAGAGAGCGGCCGCTGGATAATGGACGAACAAATGCCAATAACAACAATAGCAATCCTTGCCCAGTGCAAGATATAGCTGCAGTCAGCATCCAGAGCACGGCAACAAATCCTAGCCAGACCCAGACCAGAAGAGCACAGAGGCCTAATTCACTGGATCTCTCAGCCACAAATACTTTGGATAGCAGTAGCATGCAATGTAAGTGCAGAGAGAGCTTGAATTTCCTTAACACCTTGTTATCCAATAACTAAGCATACCTGTCTGGATGCTTAGTTATTGAGTAATTTAGTAAACATTTGTGCTGTGTGTCACCCCCAAAAGCCACCCTCCCAAATCTCATTCATGCTTAATTTTAGTGCTTAATTTTCTCCCAGTAAATTAGTTCTGTGCTTCAGGCCCTCAAATATATCAGTTCTTTCTTTCTCCCCCATCCCTGGAATAAATCAGTTCCCCTAATATCTGCTCTGTCATCCCAAGTCCAGTAAAAACTAAATGCCTTCCTTTTTGCAGAACATTTCTGCTACTACTGAAAAAATAGAAGACTTTGAGCCTCCCAGTCCTCCTCCACTATGATCCCTCTTCTCACCCTTCCTCTTCCCCTAAGAGGTAGTGGCTCTGAGCTTAACTCCCTTCCCTTGCTCAAAAAGGGCTAGTGATACATTAGTCACTGTGCTTCTTTCTTTTCCACTTCTCTCCAGAGCAGCTAGTAGTCCTTCATCCTAGGCAACATTTCTTCTTGCCCTATGCAAGCCATGAGTAGGTGTCTCAAACCCTGAATTGTGCAATACAGTATTCCAAGGTAATTAAAAACTGGGCTTTGGCTGTGGTTGTGTGTGAAAACCTATTTAAGAAACAGGTAGAATGGAATTACAAGATTAAGTAATAAAATCATGCCATTAAAAACTTAGTGTTTTTAAAGATTTAAGTGTTTTACTACCCTGTAGAAACTGTGATACCACTGTGTCACCTGTTTCAAGTACAGAAAGATACCCTTATGGTGCAAACCACCTGAATGGTACACCATGTGGGGCAAAAAGTATCCAAAGTAACCCAAATGACTCCAGTGGCATAACTACAGAGTTCCACTGTTTAAGTGAGAGCAGAATTTGATCCAGTGTTTTAATGGCACCTACTATGCATCCAGTACTAATTACATCTTTTGTCACTGTGCTTGCTTTGAAAGGATTCTGTTTCTAGAAATAACCACCTTGAACTCTCAAGTGCTTTCTTCTTACAATGTTATATTTTCTACTCACTTATCTTTAATAGGTGACTCGTTGCAAGATGGCAAGCCAGGCTCAGGAGAGAAGATCAAGAAACGTGTGAAAACTCCTTATTCACTGAAGCGGTGGCGCCCGTCAACATGGGTCATCTCTACTGAACCACTGGACTGTGAGGTCAACAATAATGGCAGCGACAGGGCAGTCCACTCTAAATCCAGCACTGCTGTTTACCTTGCAGAAGGAGGTACTGCCACAACTATGGTGTCTAAGGATGCGGGAGTGAACTGTCTGTGAAATATTTTAAAAGTTGATAAAATGACATTTTTGCATTATTTGAAACAAAAATGCAGAAGACATTTAAAAAAAAACTGCTTTCTCCTCCTGTCCACATCCCCTACCAAGGACTCGCTTTAAATAGATTTCAGCTATGCAGAAAATTTTTAGCTTATGCTTCCATATTTTTTAATTTTGTTTTATTTTTTTGAACGTTTTTGCACTTTTATTTAGTATCGCTAAAGTTAAGTCTGTCTGTTTTTGACCACAAAATTATATATATGTGTATCAAAAATGTGGTCTCAAAATATTTTTTTAAAAAAATAACAAAAAAAGTATTGCTGATAATCAGTTTAGACCAGTTTCTAAAGGTCACTAAAAACATACAGACTAGAAGACAGGTTTGACTGCAGTGGTGTCTTGTATCCATGTTTTGATTTCTGTGCACAAGCTAGTTTGTATATTTTTATGTTACAAAGTGTATTATCTTTTGAACTCCCTACTTTTCTTGTGTTACGTTGAAATGTGCAATAGTCTATAGTTCACAGTAAAGTGTGTTTTGAAACCAGCCACACATTCTCCCCATCTTTGTGAGTATTTGTTAATTTGTCCCTGACAATTTAGCAGTCAGTCATTCACGACAGTGAACTTTGCACGCCATAGCCAGCTTGAAGCAGCTGCCTGTATCTGTCCTTGTGCTCTAAGATGACAATGGATAATGCATGAATTTTCCCCACCTTGTAAGGGCTTTTAAAAAGGAACAAAAAATATGATTTCAGATACTTTTTCTTTAATCCTTTAAACTTCTATTCAGTTTACTTCATAACAGATATTATACTAGTTTGGGACATTCTTAGAAGAAAAACATAGAACAAAATGTAAAGGAACAAAATACGTCAGCCATTTTTCCATTTTATTTTTGATGCAGCTTCATTATTTGTATTTAAGCAAACTTTCTTATTGCTGTTAATGTGTATTTAAAAGTTTGTTTTTTGTCAGAAATCCTAATGAACTATCCTGCTAAGAGTTCTAGTGAAGGTAGGTTGTTAAGACATTTTGTTGCCTAGAAGAGTACTGACTTGTGATTGGCCCAAAATGGTCATGTGTTGAATCTCAGCTTTTACTATTTAGCTCCTTAGAATAAATATCTATATCCGGAGCAATGTCAAGCACATTACATTTGCAAGTTTGTGCATCTTAATTGGCTGATGCTGAATTAAGTGAAAATTATTCTTCCCTTCAAAGTTTTTTTTCTAGACCCTTTCATTCAGCTTGCTGTTCAAATTTTAAGCTAAACTTTAAAGAAATCATGGTCATGAGATTAGTTTCTTTTTTCTTTTCCTAATGAGAACATTTAAAATGTATGTAACCCTACATGCACTGATGTCAGGTATCAGTGACCGGTAATGTAATACCTGTTGGGGTAAGTATTGATCTCAGCTTCTTTTCAAGCCAATATTATTATTATCTTCTCAGGGCAATAATACTGGCTGCTGACTTTAACAGAACTCACTGCCCCCATATAAGGACATTGGCTCAGGAGTAATTTTGTCTTGCTGAAAAAAATTAAACACAAAGTAGCTAAAGAACTGTAGAATCTGGCTTGCTGTGATACTGAGCAACATTTTTCACTTGTGTTGGGAAACTGCTCAAATCCTTAAGGCTTAGAAAATAAAAAAAACCCTTAACCTGTGATAAAAAATAAGTCAGCACACCAAATGCCAATAGCAGGATATTGGTGGGCAAGAACTGCACACAACCCATCTTTCTTCAGTTGACTCTGGCTGAATTTTTGTCCTTTCAAGCCCAGTTATTTCCTGATCTTGCTATCATACAGTTTCTCCATGAGAGACCCTTTATTGACTCTGTTCCTATACCTGTAATAACAAAGCCTTTTCTCCTACTCCTTACACTTTCTTGTTTCCTTGTATCTCTATAGCTTCTTCTTTTCATGCTTTTTAAATGCTCTTGGTCAGAATCTGCTATCAGATATGTCTTTATAAATATAGACCAGGTTTGGGCAAAATGCAGCCCATGGGCTGGATGTGGCCTGCCAGGCCATTCTGTCCGCCCATGGGGCCCCTAAAAAAATTAGACAATTAATAGTTATCTGCCCCTGGCTGCCTGTCATGTGGCCCTCGATGGCTTTCCAAAACTCAGTAAGCAGCCCTCCACCCAAAATAATTGCCTGCCCCTGATATAGACTGTCCCCATATAGTGCACAAGCATAAAGCAGGGCCAAACTTGTCCTCCATCTTTTATCACTAAGCACTGTCCAAACCTTTTAATCAAATAGCTCTCCTTCTCTCAGAGACACAATGCTTTGTTATGCTGGTATGCAAATATACAACTGTATTTTTTGGCAGAAAAAAAGACTAATTTTCTCCATGTTGTTCTCATGTCTTTCTCCTGCTTGCCGTCTGCTGCAGGCTCACATCCCAGACATTGAAAACTTGCTACTTACTTACAGATTGGCTTGCCTACACATTGATCTAAATTAATGGTATTATGGTCTTAATATTACTTCTAGATTTTGTCTCTTTCTGTGTTTATCTTAATTTGAAATTCTTCACACTTTGGGAGGTTTCAGCTTGACTGTCTCGAATAGAATTCCTTGTTTTTTGCAACAATTATCATATCATGCATGCTAAAGACTGTTCACATCTCTTCCATTGACTTTTTGCTTTGCTTTACATGAATCATTTATCATTTCAAAATGTTAGTTTGACAAGCATCTGTAAGACACTCATGCTTTTATCTGACTTGAAACACACTAGGGCAGGAAAAGTTATTTGCTCTAGCTACTGCTGCTTTTTGCCAAGACTGATTTGCACCGGTCTTCTAGCCTTTGTTTTCAAGCCAGTCCTTACTGTAAATTCCAAGATTTTTATACTTAATGCAATCAAAAGATTTAATGAAATCACTCCGCCAATGCCTTTCTGGCATTCTGCAGTTTTCCTTTTTCGTTCACAGAAATTTTGCTGAAAACCTTTGAGGTAAATCATAATTGTTAGAAGGTTTCTATTACATGATCTAGCACATATAAATACAATTTCAATACAATACAAGTGTGTACACTTTATCATAGTATACCTGGTAAATCCAACTGAAATGGCATCATTCTTCTCAAGATCAATCCAATTACGTTTTGAATAGATACTAGGATGCTCTAATTTTGCAGAGGTACATGAGATTGGATTAGTATAGCTTAATTTTAATGTACAATTGGTAAAGTCCCTTTATGTCCAGAGTAAGTTATCTAAACTTTAAAACAGAACGCAGTCCCTATAAATTATATTAAATCACAGTTCACAAAAATACTTCAGGAAATTACTGTTAAGGGAATCAAATTAAGTAGGAGAATTCTGAAAATCAAATCTATATAAATAATGAATGTGCAGTAAATCAGTTTTGAAAAGTCCAGTTATATATATATATGATGCATTTGTTGAGTAACAATACATCAAAATTGTGTCTAAAAATCTCTTCTATACACATTTACATGTATTTTTCATATCCTTTTTCCTGTAGCTATTAGGATTAAAGAGCTTTTCTGGAGTAAGCAGATGGATAGGAGGATATTTTTTATCTAACCATCATAAAACCAAATGCTTTTCAGTTTTGAATCATGCCCACACCAAGATTTTGACCCCAGTAATCTTTGTAAAGCCCCAACATTCTGTTGCTACTAAAACCAAGCAATTTTTGATGTGAACAAAAGGCATAAAGAGGCTATAATTCAACTATATGAAAAAAACAGAATATAGATGACATTTGTGATTTTTACATTTAAGTGCCCCATTTCAGAAAATTACATAATATATCTTGATTTTCTTTTAAATTAAGAGTTATTTACTTTTAATTACACTATTTTAAATATATCTGGGAGTAGTATATGTATATATGCCACAATGCTTGCTGGATGGACTCTGCTGCATGTTCCTGTGATATCTGTAAAGTATTTGAGAGAGAGGTTTCAAAAAATTCCACTTGTGTTACCTTTAATAGAAATATATTCAAAAAGCAATTTTATTATAGAACAAAAAATTAAAAGGCCAGCTGTTTTGTCCTTGAATCAGCATAGCTTTTCTGGAAATTGTCTACATGCTTTGTGTTAAATTGCCAAAATATGTCAGAACAGTGGATTTCTCCATGTTTGTATCTTAATTATTGGATCTCCCATATATAGATTTACATTTATACTTTTGAGATCCTGACTTGGAACTATGAATACTGGTGATACAGGTTTCCACCATTGTCCATAACTGGGCTTGCAGTCCACCAATTCTATATAACATAAAAAGAACTAGTAATCAATGGGACAGCTAGGAAAACAAAAACTTGAATAGGTTTGGTTCCTGTCAGTCGTGATTTAAATTCCTGCATGCAGGTCAACCCAGGAAAAACATTTCATTTTATGCTGTGATTTCTACTTGCACTTAGAATAGTAGTTACTTATTACTGAAACAGAAAAAGCAATCAAGTAAAAAAACCCAAAACTAAACAAAAAACCCCCACTGAAATAATCACTGCCTAGTAAAGTGGAGTATACCTATAGGCTGTGTCCTGACTTAACTTCTTTGGACTGAGAATCGTTTGTAAGAATTTAGCAAACCAGTAACCCATCAGATTAGTCCATGAAACCTACACTGCAGACTGGTTCATTCAGCATCTTCTGTATCTGGATTGTGGAATTGTCTCTTGGATTGTGACATTTTCTCTCAGGTGCCCAACACTATTTAAAACAGAAAATTCATTTCAGTAGATTTCTGTTTCTCAGTTGCTCAACACTTTTCATAGAACCAGAAGAGACCTGTAAGATCAAAAAGTCCATTCCCCTGCCATGGGCAGAAAGTTATTGGGCTCAGATGAGCTCAGCAAGGTGCCTGTCCAGCCTCCTTCTGAACACCTCCAAGAATGGTGACTGCATCACCTCTGCTGGGATCGTGTTCCAGATTCTGGCGACCCTTACAGAGAAGAAGTTTTTCCTTGGATCTAGCCTGAATTTACCCTCTATAAGCTTATGTCCATTGGTCCTTGTCCTCCCTTGAGGTGCCTTCCTGAAGGGTTGCTCACCTAGATCTTGGTGTTCACCCCGACATACTTGTAGGCAGCTATCAAGTCACCTCTCAGCCTTCTCTTACTCGGACTGAACAGGCCCAAGTCCCAGAGTCTCTCCTCCTAGGGCCTACCCTCCATTTCCTTTACCATACAGGTGGCCCTTCTCTGTACCTTCTTGAGCTTATTCATGTTCTTCTTGAAGTGTGGTGCCCAGAACTGGACACAGTACTCCAGCTGAGGCCTTACCAGTGCCAAATAGAGAGGGAAGAGCGCCTCCCTGGATCTACTGGACACACATCAGCTGATGCACACCAGAGCTCTATTTGCTTTCCTGGTGTCCTCATCACACTGCTGGCTCATTTTCATCTTCTGGTTGATCGTAACCCCTAGGTCTTGTTCAGATGCTGTGCCAGCCAGGGCCACCACCCATCGTGTAGTTGTAGTGAGGGTTCGTCTTACCCATATGATGGACTTTGCACTTATCCCTGTTAAACCTCATCTGATTCCAATTTGCCCACGAGTCCAGTCTGTCAAGGTCATCCTGAATTCTGACCCTGTCATTCAGTGTGCCTG